CTTTACTTTCTTTGATACCACTACTATGGAAGAAAAGTGGTTTAAGACTTAAAGAGAGAAAAAACAGGGTAAGAAAAAGCAAAAATATTAATTACAATTAATACAAAATTGTATAAATATGCTTCTGTCGGTATGGGTGAGAAAGGAGTTTGTTAAAAAATGTGCTCCTACCTGGACATAAAATAAATACAGAGCCTTTAAAGGGTAGAATAAAGTGTGGATGTTATTGGATCAAGTTTCATAATTGAATAGCAAACTACTGATTTGTCTTCTCACCTTCAATGTCATGATATACTCTATGTCTGTTATCTTCTTGAAAGGCAATGTCCTTATTTAAAGTTGTTGGATACAAGTATATCCTTGCCAGTTAAAATTTCACATCTCTGCAAGTATCAAAATGCAGAGACTACAGTAAAGCTGGGACCACAGATAATTTTTCTTTGACATTTTGTATCCAAATGTCAGTATGAAACTATATTTACAATTATTTTATTTTAACAAATATAATTTTTAAAATTTCACTCTGTAAAATTAGGTCCATCAGGCAGATAAGGAACTGCAGAATTAAAATTATAGGCAGTGCTCCTTTATTTTATAACATTACAGAAAAGCCATTTAAAATCCCATTCCAGTCTTCAAGTATAAATAATTGGAATTGTACAGATTGAGCACCTAATTAGGCATAATAGGGTTTTTTGCTGCATAGCTTTGTGAAGGCAATCAAAAGAAAAATGCCTGCCATTGCAAACTAGACAATTAATTTTTTAGATCTATTTAGTTTAGAAAGAATACTGTTTGCTTTTATAAATTCCTAGGTCAAAATGCTTAGAAGAATTATTTTACAGGTACTTTTTTGTTCAGGAAAACATTAAGGTTTCTCTGCCCTGTACTTACAGCACTTAACTACTCAAGATATTGCTGAAAACATATCTCCTCTTAAGAAAATAAGTTGCTTCCTTTCTTAAAAGGGATGTTCATAGATTGTTCAGCTCTGCAACTGTATGAGAACTAGGAAAGCCAAACTATTCAGTGTTAGTTAAATGAAAGTAATCAATCAAAAGATGGGTAGAACAAATTACTCCCTCAGCGCCAGAATTATTATTTTCTACAAATTAAAAAGGTAATATCTGATTCCTCCAATTTTCAGTTTCTTTGTTCAGATAAATAATAGCTTTTTTATTTAAGGTAATTCCCTTACAGTAAAATACTCCCTTTCTGAATGTTTTATTACTTTTGTCAGAAAACAACAAAGCACTAATATCATGTAAAAAATTAAATCCAAGAGGATTTTTTCTTTTCTTGTGGCTTAAACTGGTTTTGCCAAATTGTTGAAGATGACATACAGGAAGAAAATATATGAGGGCCTTCTGTCCTTTCTCTTCTCTTAGCAAAGTCTCCTGAAAGAGCCAACATCATTATTCTTCTGTGCAATTTGCTTAATGACCAGTAAGAGTTCAAGTGTCAGCTGGAAATAGTTATTTTCTCATTTAGGAACAGGAAAACCTCATTCCTGTAGATATTTTTCAATATCTACATTCTGAGTGTAAATATAGGTGGATGTATATTATTTTGTGGACAGAGATGACAGAAAACCAAATTATGTACTCTGACATCACTATACTAGGATATACAATGAACATGAAAACCTGTCTCATGAAGTTGAAATGAACTTTGATCTTCTAACACACTGTTCAGTATCTTGACTACAAAAAGATGAAAAATCTCATCTCAAGAGACCAAGCAGAAATTGGCTGCACCATTTAAAAAAAATAAAAGGTATATAGAGTTCAGTACCTTTGCTCTTTAAGGAGGAGGAATTCTACAGTGTGGTAATAGTATTGGAACCCTGACATTTCAACACAGACTACTTACAATGAATTTAATTTTTTTCTTCTATTAAAACAAATGACCTGGAACATTCAGAATAGAGAATAGTCTTGCTTCATCAGTTTTACTGGAAAATATTTTGCTTTGTGATCTTGGGGAATGTGTCCCTTAAGATTTTGATTGTGGTGTTGCCATTAGCTGTTATCATGGAGTGTTCAGTAATTTCAGTCAGAGAAGAGGTGCACTGCAATCCATCCTGCATGATAAGGAGGCAATACCTTTGGGAATACCTTTTAGTCCATATGTGTGATATAAAAATCACATAAACATTCTGGCATCTAAGCTTAGAATGAATCCAAATGCTTGAATTCAAAGCTTGAATATTGAATTTTTCATATAAGACACAGTCCCTCTAATATAAAATGTGTATTTATATACTTACTTGGGCAAGATGATTACATTATCATTACTACTCATTAGAATATTTTGAAACATATGATTCAAGCACTGCCTAATGGGGAAAGAAAATACTTCTGTGTAGCTTAGAACACTGCCAACCTGGTTTCTTAGAAAACATAAGAATCAAATGTGGAGTTTCATAGATAGGTGGGTCTGAACACAGGTAAATAGAGATGCAAGCCAGCAGATGCAACAGTTTGTGCAGCAGCTTCCACAAAAGGGCAGCAGAAACTACTGAGGGCAGTATATTGGTTTCTGCAATGGGTAAAAAATCAGTAGGAGCTGTGCATCTCACAGGGTTTTATCTGCATTGTGTAAACTCAGAAAAGTTCTGATGAGAAGAACACAGAAGACATTGAAGACTATTTTCTGTATAAAGTGCAGTTACTCAATGTTACTTTTCTCTCTTTGTAACAAGAAATGCAGAGAGAAAGTAACATTATATTAATGCAATGAGCTTATCTTTTTTTATTGTCGTTAAAAAAAAATTAAAGCTCCATGAAAATGCAGGAAGAATGGTATTTTGATTAAGAGGAAATCAAATTTCCTACAAAAAGTGAATTAAATAATTGTAATGGCTTAATTTCCAGCAGGAAATAGATGAGAATAAAGCTCAAATATGAAGGACTTGAAATAAAAAAAATCAAATACTGAAGGAGATAAAAAGAGTAATTGAGGAAAACATTTTCTATCCTAGTGAAAGTGCAAATAAGTTATCTCAGGAAATAAAAGCTGGAAATTTCAAAACTGAAGAGATGTAATTTTTATGTGCATCATAGATTCCTTGTGAAATTCACTGCATAATAATATAACAATGTTTATGTTTGAAGGTGAGACAGGGTTTGTGTTTTTGTCTAGACAACAAGTATGTGTACATGTATGTGTACAAAAACGTTTATCCCTCTGAACTTCCTTTGAATAGGATTCATTTTTTTATCCCAAAAAGAACTTGATTTTCTATTTAACTTTACATTTAATGAAGAGTATATAGATGAAAAAGCTAAGGGGAACCATGTTTTTTATAGCAAGTCATAGTAAATACTTTTTTACAATATAAACCTCTTTGTTCAGGATTTAAGAATATTTAAAATATTAGATACTAGAGTAAACAAAAAACCACACCCAAACTACATATTTTAGCATATAATTCCATAATTTTTATGTGACCACTGACACATTTTCCCACATACTGGTCATGTTCTGAGATTAAATATTGAGCTATATGGACCATTACTTCAGATTAATACCCACTTTAATATTCTGGAGAAATTGTAACTGGAACATGTGATTGAAAAGAAAGAATTTCTAGGCAAGGCAATGAAAACAATTGGAGAATGAGTTCTATAGAAAAAGAAAAGGTTCAACCTTCATTTGGAGGAACATTTTTCTAAGGGTTAGTAGGCTTTTTAAAATTATTTTCTTTTTTTAAGTTAAAAAATATTGACAAACAAAAATCAACATCCAAAGTGCAGGAACATTTTCTGTGAACACTGACATGAAACATATTCAAACTCATTGATAAATATAGTTTTAAAGTAAAATAAGCTTTTAATGAATTAGTTTTCTGAAATAAGACAAAACATTCCCACACAGAAAAGGGAGACTTCACATGGTTGAAAATTAAAGATAGACTTTCCTGCAAGAAAAAAACAAAGCCGTTCTCTGTTCTATTAATGATCTATTGTTTTCTGACTTTTTGATGAGTTCAAATCGTGTGAAATGTAGTGAGGATAAAAAAAGACATTGACTTAGAAACAGGACTGGATTTCGCCTGAGATTTTTCAGAGCGATGGTTATTTGGGATCATGGATTCATAGAATGGAATTACTGAGTTCACTGTCTTGTAACAAACGGTGCTTAGCTATAACTTATCTTCCAGAGCCTTCTAAGCTTAACTGAAGAGACTGTGAGATAGAGAATTCATCAATTCCTTTGACTGGGTGATTCAAACTGTTCACAGTTAAAAAATTGTTTCTTATTGAAATATGTTCAACTTCAGGTTTCACACATTACATGTTATTTTTTTTCAGTAGATAAGAGAATACTCCTATATCCAACATTATTTTTCTGTGAAGGTGTGTGGCTATTTATTTTTCTTTTTTGATAGAATGAAACTGAGGAAGCCGCTTAAGTTTCTCAGTCTAATTACTTGCTCAAGACTTCAAATGTCTTTTTTGATTCTGTATCAGTCCATCAATCTTCCTGCTACTGAAGAATTGTTCATTTTCTTCTATGTGATTGACAAAAATAGTGCAAAAACAGACTTTAACCCCTCTAGAAGCAATTCCATTCAGTGAAATCCCCCTTAGGTTGACAATAACCAGAGATCTACCAGGTATCCAGTCCCTACTTTATTGTGTGCTTTACTGCTATTGTAAAGAGCTAATTCATGATCAGAATGTTATGAGAAACCAAAGGGAATAGAGAAATCTAAGAGGATCACATCCTTGACAGGTTATTCTCTGAAGCAAACACTCTTGTCAAGAAATGAAATTAAGTTTGTTTGACAAGACCTGTTTTTCATAGAGCCATGTGGAGTGGCATTAATTTCATTCCTGTTTGCTGATTCTTAATCAAATATCAAATTGGTATTTCCATTTTCATTTTGAATATAAAAGTTCATTTGTTGCTTGTGTTTTGGAAAACTTTTTTATTTTTTACTACTGATAGAGGAAACACACTTTTATCTTCTCTCACTTTCTCCTTCATTTTAGGAGTTACAGTGCTTGAAGGGCCTATTTATGCAGTGGGAGGACATGATGGCTGGAGTTATTTGAACACAGTTGAGAGGTGGGACCCTCAAAGTCAGCAGTGGACATTTGTGGCAAGTATGTCAATTGCCAGAAGCACTGTTGGAGTAGCAGCATTAAATGGCAAGTGAGTAGGGTGTGCTTACACAATTGAAACACTTCTTTTGAAAACCAATGAAGCTTAATTGTCATCGCTTTCGCTTATTAAGTTGCAGTGGCATTGAATTGTTCCAGAGAAGATCAAATGGTCAAAGCTGCTTTAATATCCCTCTTACTCTGCAAGAAACTGGTTTCATTGGTGCACAAGCCATGCAGCAGACTAGCAGAAGCCACATCTAGAGAAAAAACCTGGAAAAATTGATCTAAAGTCATGAAGAACAGCATATGATTACACATATATATTCCAGCTTTGTTTCTCTTGCACAGCTGACCATATATTTAATGCTTCCCAGTTAACAGATACTCAATTGAATTTTTCATGACTTATATCAAACACTTTTAAGTTAAAAAAAGATGTTATCTGTGTCCAAGAAAGGTAGGATGAACACACTGAAAACTGAAAAAGCAGTGGTCTCACTGCAACAAGCAGAAATATGCCATTGATTTTTATTCATTTTATCTGAGTACCCATCTTTAAAAAATACCCAATATGTCAAGAACTACAACTTGAAAACCTTTTTAAGAACCTTTCAAATTCCCAGCGATATTCTTGCTACATTGCTGTTCCACACAACTGACATGTGCTGCATTCCTCAGGATATTGGAAATGGATATCTCATTGAGAAACACAATGTTGGGTTTAACAAAGGAAAAAAGGAAAGCAAAGGAAAAAAGATTTTCCATTTCAGTATGGAAGTTCTGAGGAATTTTTTCTTGGTTATTCATTATGATTTCTTTCTTCAGCAGTGAATTAAATAGGAAATAAATGAAATGCATCGGATGCTTGTTGAAGCAAGAGTGCTACAAACTATTCTGCATGTGTATCTCTCACACTGCTTTGGGCACTTTACATAAAATGGATACTGGGTGCTAAATATTTTGAATGGGAGTTTCTTAAAAGACTTGAAAAAGTATAGCCACTTGTGTTCTCACATTAAAACACAAAAGATTGTGTTTTAATGTGAGAAACTATTCCATTTGTGATCTTCCATCGCCCTATAGTTGGCTGAAATTGTTTTCCATTTAAATTAATTTAAAGTGGAAACATGAAAATTGTATTTTTCTATTGGCTTATGATGGAAATAAATAAAAAACTTAAAGCTTTCATATTCTGATCTCATCAGGTTCTGAGAGAGGAGATGGATTTGTAAGTAACCTCTTATTAGTTCCTGATGTATTGAAGTGTTTCAGAAGCTCACTTGTGTAGATCATGCAAGTAAATTATCGATTATTTTGCTGCTCAAATTGAAAGCAATACTATCTAAATTTGGCAAAACAGGGTGCATAGAAATGAATGCTTTTTCACTGAAATACATTTTTAAATTTAAACTGAAATTATTATATCAACATCTTTCCTAAAATATGAAAAGGATTGTGTCAACATGTGCATCATAAACTAATTTGAAAAATATTTAAATATTGAAGCAATAAAATCCTACTGAATTTCTCAGAAATTTAGAAAGATAACTATCTGAAGTTTGGGATTTTTTTTTAAATTTTAAACTTAGTCCATTTGCCAGGGTTCTTTTCTGTACTTATGTAACCTTATTACATTTAGAAGTTGCAGTACTATTCCACCCAGGAAGGCTTAATGGAGTATCTTGCCCTCCCTACACAAAGGTCACCTGGTTGTTACCTCCAGATTTCCCAGAGTAATAGGATATAATAGTTACTATCCTTCAGTGAGGAGCACAGACAATATTAATTTTCTTAAATGTCCTAGTTGTAAGGAGAGCTAGAACAACTAATAAAAGGTAAAGGTGTTTTTCAAGATAAAAGAAAGACACATGACAAATTTATTTACCAGAATTTCAACAGAGCAATTTATCTGGTGCTACATATGAATAAATAATTAAGATAAAAAAAGTGAGTAGTACAAGGATTTGAAGAAGAATAGAACTCTATTCAATAACTAGGATGTCACAGTAACCCCTTGAATTCTTTATAGATCTGTCCTGGGTTAAAAGAGTACAACAGCAGGAGCAAGCTAGTCAAATTACTAAACCAAGTGGCAGCAAAGGGAATAATATCATATGGTTCATGTTGGCCACATGAATACGTGATGGCCAAATGGCCAAATTCATGTTGGCCACATAAATCTGGATGATCTTAAGAAGCAACACAAATAGTATATTTAGCAGTTTACATATGAATTAACAAGCCTTGTGTTTGAAGAAAATTAATGTTAAGAAGTAAATGAAGAGGTGAAAAAAGCTTTGTATGTTGTTAGCACAGAAAAAGAACAGAAGAAGAAAACTGGGGGAATAAAAGGAAATGCTACTGAAGAAAACATGAAGTTTTATTAATATTGGAAATATATGTGTTGTGTTAGTGTGTGGAATTCTGGTCATCCGTATCAAAGGCAGTTCAAATGAAATTGCAAAGGCTATATAATGTGTACCAAGACTATCAAGAAGGCATGTCATACCAAAGAAAAGCAGCAAAACTGATATAGCTGGCAAAGAAACACATGCACAAAATAGCTGCAATTCAGCTGGGAAAATAGAGATGAAATAAAAGTAATATGGGAACAATAAGATCATGTCCACAAACCTCTCATCAGGTTCCAAAAGCCTGTTTATTGGTTCACATAAAGGGTAATGTTATGTGGTTTTATCCAAAGACTGGAATCTGAGAATTTTCCTCTTCAGTGATATTTTTGTTTTCCCAAGTCAACAATAGGTTCCAGGCACCACTAACAATGTTTGCTGAGGCTTTGGGGATTCCATCTCCTACATCTTCACTTGTTTCTCATAGTCAAACAGTAACACAAGAGTGGAGTGTGTTATCCTTATATATAAAAATTATTTTTAAATTGAGGTCTTTATCAGTTTTTAACATATTTTGTTAAATATAGGTGTTGTAGGATTTGCCATGACTGTAGAATTTCCTGGGATGAAATATGGTCAGTAATTCCTTCTGATATGGAAACAGCATCCTCCCTTCCGCCTTGTTAATGTTAACAACCCTGTTGCAGATATTGGGAGAGAAAGAGTGCATGAACTTCCTCAGATCAGCAGTAGATATGGGTCTTAAAATACTAAATGTGGGATGGAGATCTACACTTTGAAAAAAAACTGGTAGAGGATGGTGCTTTTTATATGCAGATAGTGAGTCAAAAGTTGGCATGACTTATTTGAATCTTCTTTGGGGCTCACATAAGTGGTGTGTAAGTTATTCTATATAAGATCAGCATTCTACAGTTGTCAGCAGATAGTGCTGAAGCAATAGAACTTCTCTTTAGTATGAGTTAGAAGCACCAAGGAACAAAAAGTGTGAAAAGGTCTATATTTGCCAGAAACTTTTTGAAATTAACACTTAACTATTTCAAGCGTTTCTTAATTTCTTGATTTTAAACTCAAGAAGAACAGAAATCTAGTCGACACCTTCAATCCAACAAATACTAATCCTTTCATTAACTTAAAATGTAAATGCTTCTAAATTTCTAGCTAATACCATAGCTATTTTTTATCCTTCTATTAAAAATTCTAATACATGAACTGCTCATTCCCTAAGAACACTAAACCTTTCCACTAATTTCAGAACATATTTTATACTAATAGTATAATGCTAAGTGAAAATCAAATTTAGTTTACACACCATCAGGAATACATACTCCTCAAAGACATTCTCTGTATTATACAGATTTGTGTTATTCTAAACATTTTTGTGTCACTACCATAACTGAAGTTTTTCTATATTGCTCTATTATATGTCCACAAAGACTGCATTACAAAAAATATTCCTTAGTTTCTACTGGTATATTCAAAGTTATCAATATTTTTTGAAACAATTGTAGCATTCTGCCATGAAAGTCTGGCCCTTTAGTCTTGATCCCTTTATTGAATATCAGTAAATCTATGTTACAAAAGCATAAAATGCTCAGCTGTTGACAGCATCCACCGGCTGATTTTGAATGGTAGAACATCACAGCAGTGCCAAAAATCATGACTTTGACACACAGTGGCAAGCAGCTCAAACTCATGCTAACATCTTGTGGAGTCAAGGAAAAGGAGTCCTGCCCTCCTGCCCTTTATTGATTGCCACATCCTCAAATATATTCTACAGTGAACTTGGTATCTCCTCCTGCTGCTGTTATTAAATACACAGAACACTGTTGGTATATGATAGATGACAAAAAGCAAAGAATTTTTTAATCTTAACTTTTAGAAGTACAAATGTGCAAGTATTCTTTTAAGTAATATTTTACATTTATTTGAGGAAAAGAAAGGTTTTGTAGATGTTTGTTGTCTCTGAAGGAAAGTAAAAGAGCAAGGGGAAATGCTGCAAGAAAATATTATTCGCCATGAATATCCACCTGACTGCTTACCATTTGCTGTCACAGGCAAAATAGGCTTGAGTTAGGGAAAATAAATGCAATTCATTAATAATAAAAACAGATTCTGGCTCTTGAGAAGCAACCCCAAATTTTAACTTGCCACCTTTCTTCCCCCCTTTCCCAGGCTCAGTTTATAACATTACAGCCCCATCCCTGACTGGTGCAGGGGGTGGGAAATGGGTATTGTGGTTTCTCAGACCCTTTTCTCCCCCCCTCCTTCCTCGCACATTTCCCTTGCTCCATCATGGGCTCTCCATAGGCTGCAGTCCTTTGAGAGATAACCTCCTACTCCAGGGTAGTGTCCTCCATAGGCCACTGTGCCTGTGACTGGTTATCTTTATATATTATCTTTAGCAGGAAAATACAATGCAAGACTGCAGGCAAGATGAATTAACTGCCCCAGAGATATGTTCCTTTACAGGAACAAACCCCTAAGAATAGATCCTCTTAATCAAATCCAACAGGTTTAAAATTGGAGTTGTTTGGCAAGCCTCATCTCTCTCAATCAATTATGTTGAAAAAAGTCCTTTTTCCTGTTTGCCTGAGACACTGATTTTTTTTCATATTATTGTTGAAAGACAGTCCAACATAAAAAAAAAAAAAAACTTTTCTGGTTGTGTCCTTTAAGT